CAGTGGCGGAACAACGTAGCCACGGGCCTGTGTGCGAAATTTTTTGCTGGGCCCCCATTATGATACGAAGTATTGATAACAATATTAATTTAGGTATGAATTTTGGCTACAAAAAAAAACCAATTGATAAGTATTTATGTTCCTGAACCTGAACATAGAAAAATACGAGGAAAAATATGTGGTAACCTTAGAGTCACAGCGCGGATTCAGCGTTTACCTACGCTTATCATTACCCCACGATTTAGAAAATTGAATCTTACTTTCTCAGTTAACTTTTACTATTCAGAAAGTCATTCGTTCGGTTATCTCATGACTCATGACAATTTATAGCTAATTTTTTTGTACCGTTGAAGTTATACTGCGTATTTTAGTACAAAAAAATTAAATTTAGTACATTTTCATTGACATTTCATTTTCAGTATAATTAAAAAAATTACTCAATCGCTGACTGCAGTCTGCAGTTGGTTTCACACCGTGCTAGAGGTATGCTGCATATAGCGTTCGTTAAAGTCCCTAAATCTAGAAAGTACCAATCCATTGGGCTCGTGTGTTAGAGAGAGAACGCAATGATTTTTGCCCACACAAAATGGCGGAAGTTACCAGATGCTAAACGTAACTTTAATGTTAGGGATATTCCACGTGTTGGAGATATCTGTAATATATTTTACTAACCTATCATAGCACATTTTATATCTGTGATACGCGGGCATAAAGTACCACTTTATGCCCTAGGGCGTTAAGCATCACCATACTAACTCATTTATACTTAATGTCAAAACAAACAAATATTTACAGGTCATTGAAAATTAGAAACGTCATTTATTAATTGTCAATACCTATTAAATCACAAGATTGGCTTTATTTCGTATAGTTTCTGGAACTTCTTGCTCATTCACGATGAATTGAATTACTTTTAAAATTACGTTTGACGTTTGGATGGTTTCAATCACATTAACAAATTCGAACCACGCATACTTGATCAAACATAATGAATTATTTTGTAAACGAATTTTGACGAAGAAAACTATTTGTAAAACATAAAATTGTGTATGTACCACGAGCATAAACTGATGTTTATACTCTCGGGCGACTAAAAAGCTCTCGGGCCATAGGCCCTCGAGCTTTTTAACTCGTCGCCCTCGAGAATATAAACATCACTATTATGCCCTTAATACATATATAACTATTAAAAACATGACCCAGTACTATGAAGCTACTAGGTTTATAAAATATTACAGCTATCTCAGATTTTATTTGTCTATTTTTTAACGTTGCAGCAAATTGCCCAAAAATGGCGGATGATTGCGGGTACTTTCTATATCTAGTGACTTTCTTATTCCGTGTTTCCGTCTTTCGTAAACAGTGTATTATTTTCGGAGGTATGACAATCCCGGATCGGGCCTTTTTTTTAGTCCAGGCCCGTGTACTTCCGCACACATTGAAACACCGGTAGTTCCGCCACTGTAGAGGCGGTGAAGACTTGGGCTTTTGTGTGATTTGTATTCAAAGTTGTCCCCTCGAATTACAAAGTTGACGTGTTCGGGATTTTCGAAATTTCTAAATTTAATACCCTAAAATCCCTCTGTATACTTCTCGTTGGGCCACTCTGTATTTATGTAATGTATGTCTATTGTCTATTAATGGCTTAATGTGAATGTGTTTATGGTGCTTGTTAATGAAAATAAAAACTAACGTAACCTACTGTAGGCATAAAAATACAGATCCTTTGCAAAAACCCAAAAATTATAAAACCAGGGTTTTTGTTACGAAATGTTTTTGTAAAAAACCCACCCGGTTTTTGTTGGGTTTTTATACTTTGGGTTTTTGATTGCCAACCCTGCCTACGAAAGCCCCCCTCCGCCCCACCCCTTATCAAACATGTCAGTGCCATCTTTTATCTTTTAAGACTGTCATCAAACAATTGAAAAAGAAACTAAACTTTTTGGTCCTTTAGTTTATTATTGAGATTATTGTTTTTAGCATCCAATTATTTTGACACACTTGCTTGCCACACTCTGTGGCATTTTTTAATGGTCAATAAGAAGTTACAGATATTTTTCAAACTCCAAATTTTCAAAATACCTACTCAGATTTACGAGAAATAGTAAAAAATTCCAATTTCATGTAACACCTAACATTCGCTTTACTTGGAGTCCCCCGGGTTTCCAGGGCTGTAGCCTCATTGTCTCCTTAATCCAGCACTGCCGACGACCTCTGCGATGGATCAGCTCGAATTCATGCCTGCTTGTGACACAGTTGAACGATTATATGGACATGGTCACGCAAACGAGGTGAGTACGCCATTGTCCTTAACAAAATTCCCTAAAACAATTTTTTTACAAACGTAATGTAAAGAAAAAAAAAGATTAATAATAGACTTATCATAAGGATTAGTATCTCAACATAATGATCTTTTTATTAAAACCTAATATCAAACGTAATGCAAAAAGTACTTTGCCTTTTGCTCTTTCTTTCAATAAAGACCCCCCCCCCCTTATACATATATGTTTTGGCATTTTTTAACTTAAATTTTTCTTGTTGCAGATTCTAGAAGGGCTTATACATATATGTTTTGGCATTTTTTAACTTAAATTTTTCTTGTTGCAGATTCTAGAAGGGCTGCAGTCAGTGGCAGGTTAAGGATTTCCGAGACAGGGGGCTATCTACGAATGCCCCCCCCTTCCCCTCAAGCTTTTAACTGACAAATTCGTATGATACATCCAGTGGCGGATTTAAATTTTTTGCGCCCCTAGGCACACCGAAAGATATGCGCCCCAAAATAAACTTTAAATTGCAATAAATTTTAGGATGCTAATTATAAAAATCAAATTATAACTTGAAATTTTTTAAACTAATATGAAAAGAAATACAGTATACCTAAAATTAAGTATTCACACACGTCAAAACTTGGATTGTCGATTATTGTTCTTACAGTTACAGTTTGTTTAAACTATCTACCAATTCCAATTTATTTCATAATTTTAATCGAAGATTTTTGTCATTTGTAACTTGTTAGGGGACTTATTTTAAAACTTAAAATGTTATCTAAAATGAAATATACTACAGTGCAAAAAATGCCGCCCTCTAAAGCTGCAGTCCCTATAGGCACGTGCCTAGTGTGCCTATATGTAAATCCGCCACTGGATACATCAAACGATGATACCTACAAACAAATAAAAAAAATCAAATTTGTCTGCCTTTTATCTTTCCTATGATGCATATAGCAATTAATCAATCATGAAGGGCCGTAACAAAAATTTCAGTTGCATCTTTTTACCATTTAAGACTGTCATCAAACAATCGAACAGGAAACTAAATTTTTTGGTTTTTTAGTTGGTTTACAAGAGATTAGGGTTGTACCATTCAATTTGATATACTTACTCGCTTGCCACCCTCTGAGGTATTTTCGAATGGGCAGATATTTCCAAGCTCCAAATTTCTTCTGACTTGTAGGAATAGTAAAAAATTTCCCATTTGCTCTATCCCTAAATCTAAGTAGAGTGATGCCGGTTTTCCAGTAATTTTCAATTTCAGTCTCAGATCGGATAAAAACTCATTTGTGACTTTCTCATAACGTGGCAGAAATCAGCGTTCTTCTGCCTAAAATCCATTTCACGAAGGATCTTTTCAAATCGGGAGATTCAGCACCTTGGTGCTTATGTTTCAAACCATACGAGCTTCGGTTTAATTGACAGACCTTCGAAGATCCATCGCTGAAGCCATTCGGCTGCTCTCTCTATCAACTTTCCATTTAGGAACGCTGTAAAAATGTCGAACTGTGTCAAGTGTCACTTTTCCTTAGCACTTATGGTCTAATTGTAGTCATTCTGGGTACGGGACTGAAAGTTTGTTCATAATCAATTCCTCTTCGTTGCCTTATTTTACTAGGAGTCGTGCTTTATACTTTTTAATTGCCCCTTAGATCAGGATTCTGTAAACCCACTTGAAAGGTAGTCCGTACAACGTCTACACGCCTTTTTCTGTAAGTGACTTTAATTCACGATTCATCGTTGCACTTTGCCAGTTCTTGTGATTTTCTCTCTTCATTGCTTCCTGGAACGTACCTATTTGGGAAGGCTGAGCTTACAAGGCAAACATACCCGTTATTCTTCTTGAGGTACGTAATCACTTCTCTGCTTCTGAGCTTGTGCCTCGGGTCTTCAACACGTGAACGTCGACTCGTTTCTCAGGCACTTCGACAACAGGTGAATCCACTTCATGATCGTGATCTTCATTTTCAACAAGTGTAGGATGTTCATCAGGAGCTGGCTGAAACACTGCCTCTCCCTCTAGAGCTTGATTAGGAACACTATCCTCTGAGTGTAGGTACATTCGGGTTGATTTACAATTGGATTCACTCCTACCTTTTTTTTTCATTCCATTGATTTGGCATCCTCGTTGAAATGTTAAATTCAACATCTGTTTCCGATAACCATCGTCATTTTTATATCCAACCAGCTTGCCCCATAACAGCTTTTCCACGCTTTTGATTTGGAATGTGAGTGTCGCATTCACTTTCAATTATTCGTAGGTGTTAGATCTTGGGCCATTGTTCTCAGTTTCACCGGTGCAATTTAGGGCATTCGCGGCTGTATTTAAATTCTTAAAAATTCCCATTCTTCTCATTTATGATTCTTCACAATGTCCGTACCTTTCCCTTTAGTAGGAACTGTCGTGCCTTCTACTGTCTTAACCTTGTGACTTGAATCAAATTCATGAAACACGTTACTTGTGATAGCAATTGTCGACGTACCAATTTTCCTTGGTCTTTTTAGACTCATAGAGCAAAACATTTACCATTAACGTAATATTCTGAACTTGATTCCGATCTTAGAGCCATAGTAGCACTCTCCCTTTTTCTTTGCTTTTGGCATAACTTCTTTTTTCTGACTAGGAACTCTTGATTTGCACTCGTACCTATATACTTGTCCTCCAGTGCATCTAGGATTGTGCAGATTAGGAACAGCTATCTATATGCAATTCCTGCCAGACTTCACACTCTCTCTGTCTCAGATCATTACCCTTTTTAATTATCTTCTGTCATGTTCCTTGTGAAAATGAGCAGAGCGCTACTTTCAGACTTCTTGTGCTTGGCTAATCGCAAAGTATAATCACCGATGGATTTATCTTCAATTGGCTTCTTCAGCTTACCTTCGACGTCCCCCATGGCACCTTCCGTATCACGTAGTGTTATAGCTTCTATTTACCAGTTTCCGATTTGAAGTTTTGTCGAAAATCCTTCCATCTTGAACCTGTTACGTACCTTACGACTTCTCCAGTCCTGGGCCTAATAATTTAATATCCAGGGTTGTAGCCCCCATAGTCTCCCCCTTAATCCAACGCCGCCGACGACCTCTGCGATGGATCAGATCGAATTCAAGCCTGCCTTCGACCCAGTTCAACGATTATAATGGACTTGGTTCACGCAAACGAGGTGAGCACATCACTGACCATAACAGAAACACAAAGCTTTACGTAATTTTTTTTCAGTTATTGGTAATGGCGTTCGAGGAGAATGCACACCAGTAGCCCGTGGTGATCGTGAACTCATGGTGATGGTGCTTCTTCCTAAGCAAAAGTGGATTAACATAAGGCTAAAGGTAAATGTTCACATCTTTATTAAGACGTAATAGCAAATGTAACGCAAAAGTGCCTCAGCTCTAGGGTGTCTCTTTCAATAAAGAACCCCCACCCCCAACATTCCCTTTTTTGATTAATTTCAGATCAATTTCTATTATTTTGTTTTAACTTATTTTTCTTCTTGTTTCAGATTTTTGATGAGCGGCCTTATAAAGGTAGGATTTTTCTTTTCTATGCATGGTTGCATTATTTTGCAACAGTGGGGGAAAGTGAAGTGTATAGTGCGACTAAAAGTGATCTTTAATGACTTGTGGAAACCGGCTCAGTTTTTCAACTGGGTTGATTCTTCCTAAGGTCTCTCTCTCGGCATCAATCAGTTTGCTTTGTGTCGATCGGCATGACTATGACTTCATAGCCATGCCGATTTTACGAAGCGAAGTGATTTTTCTGCGAATCTCACTGTGATAAAAGAATGAGGTCAACTCTTTTATTTCTAAGATGAGATCGATGGCTTTTAACGTTTTTAAGTTTCTATCACTAATGATGAATAAACGAATACGCTTTATAGCATCTTTCAGGAGCAATCTCCTACTAATCTTCTCATTGTTCTCAGAACTACTGGCAGGCTTACTGTAAGACATGGCACGCGAACTGCATCTCTACTGGTTAGGAGATCTCTTCCTACTTGATCGTGTTTAAACAAAGTTAAGTACACCACTGTCTCGATCTACGTGAAAATTTTGTCTGGAGCACTGAATGTGCACTGACCACAAATTTAAAGTACGTAAATTGGTAACTTTTTACATTTTTGGGATCCATAAAATTTGTTTTGAAGATTATTCAGTGCTCCAGAAAAAATGTTCCCCCTGCTCCATCTGTCCATAACTTTGCGCCTTCGTCAACTAGTTTCTATTAACAGCATCTGTAGAGATAGCTCGACCTTTCTAAGACTTGCGGTAAAGAATTAATTTGGTCCCATAGTGTTCATTCTCCCTCTTGTCTTCTCAAAAGGATTCAATGCAGGAAACTTCTTCTTTAATGAATGCCATGCGGCATTTTAACGGTAATTTATTGAATTGTAACAGTTAAGTGCGTATACAGGGTGAACAAGTTAGCAATCGCGTTAAAGGGGGCAAAATAAGTACTTTCGTCTAATACACCATATATGTCGTCAGCGCTTTTGTAAGGAACTGGGTATCCTGGTCATTGACGCTTGCCCGTCCAGTAGTCTCGTATAGTCCACAGGGTGGGACGAGAAGTAAATGTGGGGGAGGCGCGGGTGAAAAAGTTCTGATGGCTAAACATATTCTATACTCCTCAGACTTCTGGGTACTGCGGGAATGAGATCGGTAATTAGAATGAGAAGGGGAATGGGAATGAAAATCCTTGGTACACATTTTATTTGAGATAGCGTGGTACGGGGTTGTGTGGCGGGTGTGGAATATCCCTCAGTATACAGTGGTTCGTGGTAACCTCCCCAAATTCACGTAAGCACCCCTGTTTTCGAATCTCTACTCTTAAGGCTTCACAGTCCCAAACAGACCGACGTACATAAAGAATGAATTTATGAATAAGTTCCAACCGGCCAGTGACACGTTGTACGAGGGTGGGGGGTGGGGGGGGGGGGGAACTTTGGAGTCGAATTTTTTTTAAGAATTTCACGGACAGCGAATATAGTCGTTTTTAGCGCATTTTTGCAAATTTATTTGTAAAAAGTAGCTTTTAATCTCACTTTGGCTGGCTGGCTGGCAGCAAATGTGGACGCGTAGAAGAACTCTTGTAGAAAGGCAACGGGTGTACGTGTATCTACAAGGCCGTGTAATTTGTAAACCTTGGGGACAGGGCTACATGATGTGGGGTTGGCGACATCTGGGCGTCGTCCTCGAGCGTAGTATACTAACGTGAAGGTTTTTCAGTTTTTTCCTATCTTCTACTACAGTTTTGGTCCGATTCTTTTCAAATTGGTGTCGTCGGAAAGATGTTGTAAACGCGCACAACTCCTGCGTGGCGGAATTTTGTTTTTTGGCCTAGGGGCGAAATTAACGACCTTTTGCGGCGCGCGCGCGCGTCTTCGAGAGGTAGTCAACTTCGGGCACCTTTTACCATCCGTTGCGAATTCTGTCACGCGTTTTAACGTTTCGTAAATCTCGAATGGCTGTCTCTCTTTCTCGTGTCGCCAATAGAAGCTCGAGCAATGAGAAGTGCCCCCCAAAAATTAAGTACTATCTTGTGGAAGGTTTTTAGCGAGATCCACCAAAATGTGGGTGTATGCACCGAAAAAGGAAATGGGGTAGCCTCCGACAAGATCTAACTGATGGTGGAGTCAAATCTTCAAACGCGAATTGCGGGTGAACGGGACGTCGGAAGTGGGTATCGTCAAAGGGAATGTGGTATCCTTCGACAAGATCTTTTTATTCATGGTTGAGTCAAAAGTGGCTAATAGAATACTGATCTGCCACACAAAAATGCGCTGAAGTCCCTTCGATCTCACACGAGGATTTTGAATAATTTTTTCAATTCTCTGGTGTCCGATTCTTGTGGCGAGGGGGTGTCGCTTGTTGTCATTATTCCGATGGTCAGTGTTTTTTCTCGTTAGGAAATCGTAGAGGGATGTTATCATTTGCTGTTTCTAGCACCACAATTTTGAATAGTTACTTTCTTGAGCTCTTTGGAGATCAGTTAGTTGGTAGGCAACTGAAAGAACGTCAATGGAATGAAATAATTAAAAATATCAAAGAGGACTCTTCGAGGTTGGATTGACTTTGAAAATTTTTCATCAAAGTCTTCTGGTTAAGGGTTCGTAATTGACCATTAATATTGTTTAATTATTTCAAAATGGCATGGCATGGTTCTTTTGTAGCAGGTTCAATTTTTTGTTTACGATTTAAGTTAGTCATTTCATCTATGTCCGGCGGTTCATTGTGAAAGATGATGGGTGCGTGATACGCGACATATAGCCGTAGGTCGTAGCTGTACGCGTGCGTCGATAGATCGTATGCTACACGGCATTTTTAGTTGCGCTAATGCTAGCGCTAATGTCGGGCCGATCGTTTACAGTTGCTCCTAAAATATTACGAAAATTCGCGTATATTACGCGAAAAGTGTGAAAAAATGGCAGAATTCCACCTACCGGGCAAGCGAAATTCGTCGAGGCAACTTGTAAGTAGGCTTTTCGATTGTATTATTGCCGATTAAGGTCGCCATCACCAGAAATATAGTCATCACGTAAACAGTTTTCGAGGAGACATCATCCGCCATGCCTATTACCTACTCACTGTGTTCGTTTTTGAAAAAAACAGTCGCCGTGATCCCGAGGTGGCTTAGATTTTTTTTGTTGCTGTTCGCGCCCGTAATTTAAATAAAAAGGTTATTCGTTTGTTTACAATTCATTCATGACTCAAAGCGTAGTATTTTTATCGGCCTGCTGCGATGTTTTCGCCGTGTCGTTACGTCACAATGGACCAGCGGTGTATGAATAACGGTGGCCCCGCTTAATTAAATTCGTTTCTTTTTGTGGGGGAGGAATTTCGCCGAAAGTTGGGTAATTGTTGAAGCAACAAGATAACGCGCACGCTCTATTATTTCACCCTGCGGAAATTCGACAGTATCCAAATATGGCGCAAGGGGTTGAAAGCTTTTCCACTGCTCGTGAGAATTACGTATCTCGCATGGTAGGTAGAGACCTGTCTAAGTAATGCATCCCCCATTGCTCATCTTCCGCTGGGGGGTTTGCGATATTTTTCTCGACAATCGCCAGATGGTTCCCCAATTATTGATTTCTCGCACCCCGAGTGAAATAATGTTAATCGCTTGCGATGTTTATAGCGGGAGAGGAAGCAAAAGAAATTGTACTCGGAAGATTGGGCTTTGGGCGATGAGGAAATTGAGGGGAGGCGCGTCTTCTCGCTCCAAGAAAAGTTGGAGGACCCCAAGTTCGTCGCCCACGTCCTCGTTCGTGAGATGCACGGTACCGAAATGAACGTGAGCTACTTCCAGCGTTACGGATTTAACACCCCCCTGCTCTTCAAAGAAAAAACCGGTCTAGGTAAGTCACCCCCGTCTGCGTCCACCCCTTGCTGACATCGCCGTCCGAAAGGTCTCCGACTGCCCACGTCAAACTTCTCCATCAACGACGTACGAATGTGCGTGGGATCGCGCAGAGTTCTGGACGTAATGGACGTCAACACCCAGAAGAATAGCGAGATGACAATGAAAGATTGGCAAAAGTACTACGAAGATCCAGACAAGGAGAAGCTCCTCAACGTCATCTCTTTGGAATTCTCTCACACCAAGCTCGAAAACTACGTGCAGACCCCGACGGTAGTCCGCCAAATCGACTGGGTCGACTGCGTCTGGCCGCGCCACCTCAAGGAAAGCCAGACCGAAGCCACAAACCTCCTCGAAGACATGAAGTACCCAAAGGTCCAAAAGTACTGCCTAATGTCAGTGAAAGGCTGCTACACAGACTTTCACGTCGACTTCGGCGGCACCTCGGTCTGGTACCACATCCTCAAGGGCGGCAAAGTCTTCTGGCTGATACCGCCGACCGAACACAACCTCGACCTTTACGAACGGTGGGTACTCTCGGGCAAGCAGGGCGACATCTTCTTCGGCGACAACGTCGACAAGTGCGCGCGCATTCACCTGACCGAAGGGAACACGTTTTTCATTCCGACCGGCTGGATTCACGCGGTCTACACGCCGGTCGACTCGCTCGTTTTCGGCGGTAATTTCCTACACTCGTTCGGCATCGACAAGCAATTGAAAATCGCGCAAGTCGAGGACACGACGAAAGTACCACAAAAATTTCGATACCCCTTCTTCACCGAAATGCTCTGGTATGTCCTTGAAAGATACGTTCATTGCTTATTAGGACGATCACATTTAACCACTACTTCAGATATGGTACTATCGCCGGATAGGCCTCACATACACTTAACCTACGCCGAACTCCACGGTCTTAAGGTAAACCGCACCTACGCCACCCGACCCGACACTTAACCGCTTTCTCACCAGGAAATCGTGATGTACCTCCACATGCTGCCGGCGAACAAGAAGAACGTGCCCGATCTGATTCGCGACCCGGTCCCGCTGATCCAGGACGTGCGGACCTTGATCGGGCAGCACTGTCAGGACAGTCGGGAGCTGGCGATTACGGGCAGACCGATACTGTCAGGTAATTTGCTTCGATCATTGCGATTTTCGAAGACGGTCTTTTGCAGTTTTCGAAGATCAGGAGAATCGCGTGAAGAATTACACGTACTCGCGATCGTCGGGCGTGAGGGGATCAAATAAAGTGGGTAGACCGTCGAAGACGTCTCTGTCGCACGACAGAGGTGGAGGGGGTGATAAGAATGGACCGAGGCGAAGACGAACGAGGTAATTTACTTCTTATCTATACACACACCACAACGGTGATTTTTTGTCACGGAAATACAAAGAGGGGCAGGGGGAGGGGGCGACACACGTCGACAATTTGATACGACTAGCGTGACAGCATCTTCACTGGCCCCCTCCTTACAACCCCCTCCCGAAAAAAGCGGAAAGTAAACGAGGAATTTATTCAATTGAAGTTAGATAGCCCCCCCCCTCCTGTTCACTTAAAGCGACCTTTCGAAAATAATTTGTAAAACTGGAATGTTATTGTGTCTGGGATCCATTCATTTTAGAGTCTATGATTTCAACTGCAAACAGTTATCTTATCAATCGCACTTGGGGGGCGTGGGGGTGGGGGTCTAAAATCCCGAAAAATGTTCGGGCTTTTTTCTAGAAGATTCTCAATATAGCACACAAGATCACTTTTGTAGCAGGCGTGACGCGAGGCACTTTCGGGATAAATAGATAGAAAATTACACACAAACTAAATTAGTCGCTTTTAGGAACACCCTGTGCAATAAATTATTCGGTTCGGCGTTGGCCATCCTGTATAGGTTTTTTTCAAAAAAAACATTTGATTTTTAAAACATGGCCAGAGTCGCCTCTGGTTCGCAAGCAAAATAGAAACGGAAGGGAAGAATTTATAACGGAAGTATACCGGAATTTTTCAAATATGGTTCTGATTGGGTGAACGGGACGGCGCGTCACGTGAGCAGCGAGCGTGGTTTGTCCGCCGAGCCAGCCATTAGAGGTATCGCGACTCGTTTGACTAATTATTCTATACTTCCGCTTCTGGTTCCGTTTTGCGTCCGGTTCCGCAAAAAATATTTTGTCTTCTGTGTCCGCTTCTGCTTCCGTTATAACACTTCCGTTACATCATTACAAAATACATACAAGACACTTTTTGAAAAATCATTCGCCACTGACCACTTTGTTAACAGATGTAAAAAATGCGAAGCTTGCCAAAGGAGCGACTGTGGCGAGTGCAGTTTTTGTCTGGACATGGTCAAGTTCGGCGGTCCCGGCCGAGCGAAGCAAACGTGTAACATGCGGCAATGCTTGCAGCCGATGCTACCCGTTACGGCGGCGTGCGTACACTGCGGCCTCGACGGGTGGGGGCAGACGCCCGTTGTGCCCCTACAAAAAGGTCCGCAACGCAACGAAAGCGCCAGCAGCCTAATGGAGTGTTCCGTAAGTAATCGCCGATTGGTCCTTCGCAATCTGACGCCCCTCCCCCGAACAGGTCTGCTACGAAATCACACATCCGGCCTGCGTACAGAGACTGTGCCCGCAATTCACCGGCTACATGAACGAGGACATGCCGAACTCGTGGGAGTGCCCGATGTGCTGCAAGTCGGGCAAGAACGCCGACTATAAGCCGCGACATTTTCGAGCGAGACAAAAATCGTCGGATCTGCGCAGAATGTCGATCAGCTCGGACGCGTCGAGCGCGTTCGAATCGAAGGCGCAGCCGGACCACATGAGCGGCGACTCCGGTAGCGAAAACGAGAAGGACAATAAAGAATTAGTGCCTATTAAGAAACGTCGCAGTAGCGAGGGCGAGATCGAGACCAAGAGCCAGAGCGGCGAGGCCCCCCGCAAACAGGCGCTGCGCATGCAGCTCGCGCAGCAACTCACTTGCAATTCGACGAAGGCGCTTAAAAAGCCGATGTTCGTCGTGCGACCCGCGCCGCTTAATATGATCAGTCCCTTACCTTCTAGTAACATTGCTTTGGATAAGCGATGCATTTTAAATGTCTTTCGGTAAGTCACATTAGTAGAAAAGGTGTGCTTTATTAGGGTTTCTTGAGGGGAAAAATATTGTTGAATTTGGGTATCCATTACAAGTATTTTGTAGAATTTTCTAGAATTTTTTTTAATATTTTAGACATTTTTTTCGAGCACAATTTTTAGAACCTCCTAAAATTTTCTAGAATTACTTTCTCTAGAATTGTTTAGAATTTTCTAGAATATTTTAGAACTTTTTTGAATTTTCTAGAATTTTTTTAAATATTTTAGACATTTTTTAGAATTTTTTTCGAGCATAATAACATACAATTTTTAGAACTTTCTAAAATTTTCTAGAATTTCCTTCTCTAGAATTGTTTAGAATTTTCTAGAATATTTTAAACTTTTTTGAATTTTCTAGAATTTTTTTAAATATTTTAGACATTTTTACAATTTTTTTCGAGCACAATGACATACAATTTTTAGAACCTTCTAAAATTTTCTAGAATTTCTCTCTCTAGAATTGTTTACAATTTTCTAGAATATTTTAGAACTTTTTTGAATTTTCTAGAATTTTTTTAAATATTTTAGACATTTTTTAGAATTTTTTTCGAGCACAATGACATACAATTTTTAGAACCTTCTAAAATTTTCTAGAATTTCTTTCTCTAGAATTGTTTAGAATTTTCTAGAATATTTTAGAACTTTTTTGAATTTTCTAGAATTTTTTTAAATATTTTAGACATTTTTTAGAATTTTTTTCGAGCACAATGACATACAATTTTTAAAACTTTCTAAAATTTTCTAGAATTTCTTTCTCTGGAGCACAATGACATACAATTTTTAAAACTTTCTAAAATTTTCTAGAATTTCTTTCTCTGGAACTTTTTTTTAATGTTCTAGAATTTTTTTTCGATTGCTCATGCACACAATTATTTTGTAAAATTTTTAAAATTTGTCTAGAGCTTTCTAAAATTCTGTTATTAAGAATTTTTTTCGAACACAAATTATTTTATATAATTTTTAGAATTTTTTTCCGATCACACAAGCACACACTTGATATATTTTGAATTTTCTAGAATTTTTTTAGAATTCTAGTGTTTTAAAAAATGTCGGGTGAATAACTAAAGTGTCTACTGGCAACCTACCCATACGAGTTTATGTTTTTGGACTTTCTGTCCGTCCGTCCGTCTCTGTGTACATGATTATTCGTGAACGGTTTTGACTCTTCCAGTTCTCAAAAATGGAAACAGTCCATTGACCTATGAAAAAATCGATATTAACCAACCAATTACAAGTGGTCGGTTTGAAATGGTCTTACAATATTTACAATGGAAATAAGCTCCACTAAGAAATATCTGAGTACATTACGGCTGTTTCAGGCATCTATCTCCCAAGGATCTCTTCATGTGCTCGCTCGTGTGTAAAACGTGGGCGCAGTTCAGCATCGACCCGATTCTCTGGAAACGGATGGACTTCGCCCAAAAACGCATCTCGTCCGAACACTTGAAGGGCATCGTTCGCCGCCAGCCCGAGACGCTAATCCTCGACTGGGCGCATATCAATAAGTACCAGCTGCCCTGGCTCATCCAGCGCTTGACGGCGCTCCGCGAGCTCTCCCTAGTTAGTGTGAACGTGAAATCGGTGATATCGCTCCGCTCGTGCTACTGCGCGCAGCTGCAGTCGCTCGACGTCAGTTTCGTCTCGGGCTTCAACGACTCGGCGCTGCGCGAAATTTTAGGACCGAACAACGACTCGCGCCGCGGCCTGACCGACGAGCGAGTGCGGCTGCGCAACCTGAAAACGTTGCGCGTGGCGGGCACCGAAGTGACCGATATCGCCATGCGTTACGTCACCCAGTACCTGCCGAACGTCGCGAACCTAAACTTGAGCTGCTGCGCGCGCATCACGGACGCGGGAATCGCGCAGCTCTGCACGAAACCGGCGAGCACCGTGACCAATCTCCTCAGTCTCGACGTGAGCAACACAAAGCTGGTGACCGAACTAAGTCTGGAACACCTATCGAAGTGCGAGAACTTGGTGCGGCTTGACATGCGACATTGTAGTCAGGTGTCGACGCAGGCGCTCATCAGATTCGCCGCGAAAAGTGAACATAACCTGCAAGTGCGTGATATTAAGCTTGTCGATAAGCGAATAGGAAAAGTATACTAAGTTATCGTAATTTAGGAACACTGTACAGTCTTTCTTTGTAACGTTTTTAATTCACTTATTCGCAATATAAAGAAAAGAGTAGTACCAAAGAAATTATTATTTAAACATTAAGCAATTGTGATGTTAACTCTACCTTCATATGGAACACAGCGAAACTGCAACAATTTTACGTGTACATAAACTACCTACTATCTTTTAATATTTTAGTATCTATCGGTGATTGGTGAACGTTTGCTTTGTGTGTCTTTTGTGTAATGATTTGTGCAATACCACTCATTTACTTAAAAAAAAACACGTACGGTTAGTTTGTAACGTTTTTATCTAGACATTGAAATGATGGTAGACTTGAGATTATTATTAAGTGTTGATACGTTTCAAGCTTTTTTACTGAAATAAATCGCATATTGACGGTGTTATTTATATTTTAGACATAATCCTCATATTTCGAGCAATTTGCGATATAAATTTCTGTTAAGTGCCCAATTTGGTACATAGCAGGCCAGGTTATTTAACATCGTAAACAAGTATTACCCAAAATCGTCATGAAACCTTCATTGTCAGGGATTTTAGATTTCATGACAGGCAGTAAAACTTGACCCGCCTACTTTTCCTGCCAGCTGTCAGTTTACCGGCCACACCAGTGTATCCCAGATCGCGTGGTATTGATAGTGGGATAGATTTTGTTTTGTCTTTTGTTAATTCATCACGGACTACTTGATTAAAATAATAAAAACCTTCGATCTGGTATCTTATTTTCAATCGAATTCGCTCCATCTTTAATAATAAAAAAGTTACCCATGCGATCAGGGACACATCTGTATATTATATGATATACCGGCAACTTTTCCATAAGGCTACCGTGAGAGGGCTAAGGGTAATAGAGAGACAGTTTGCTGAGAATACTCGTCTGGGGGTTATTAAGACTTCCCGTCACTAAACGTGTTATGAAATACTCTAGGAATGAAATATTTCCCAGATACTATCATGAGAGTGTCAAAAGTTCAACATTTTTGTTAGATTTCGTAAGGGGATATTGAATACCCCCCCCCCCCCGAGTATATTACATTAAATACAGAGATTCGTCAACTTTTCCGGGCTACCGTGAGAGGGCTAGGGGTAGTAGAAACAAAGTTTGGCGATAATACTCGGTTGAGGGGTATTCTATACCCCCCAGACCCTTCCGGTACTAGCTTTTTCACTAAAATATCGACTGTCCTTTACCGAACACTATCAGGAGAGAGAGTAAAACGTTCGCATTTTTGTTAGATTTCGTAACACTAGAGGGCGTGGGGGGGGGGGGGTTCCATACCCCCCAGTATATATTATATACGGAGATTTGGTCACTTTTTCATAAGGATACCGCGAGAGAGTAATTGAGAAAAATTATTGAGTCCTCGTTTACTGACAACACAGGAGGGGTTTGTCAGACTCCTCGAAAGCGACACATTAATGGCAAGAATATATTGAAGTACGAGGCCCCTTTGGGACCAAGTACTTTAGTTTCCGAGTCAAGTAGTGCCATTTTACTCACGAGGTTGGCAGTATTTTAATACAAATTTCAATTTTCTAATAGAACTTTTGATTAAAAATGTCACTCTGTCAGTGATGACAGTAGTCATTATTGACATGTGTCAAGTGGGGTCGAAAAAGTGACTGGCGGCAAGAAAGGTTATGGAAACTAAAATTTCCTGACACAAAGTACGCATCAAAATGAAGGTTTCATGACGATCTCGAGTAAAAAGTAACAAAACTCTTCAGTAAAATGACACCATTTTTCTGACTTTTATGTCAATATCTATCGTCAAGGTGGTGCACAAATCATGCCCCATTTTCGATTGGTCATATACAAATGAGCTTATTGCGACAATTTTGGGCTAATTATTTTTGCGCCCATTTGTTTTGCGCTCCTTTAATATGTAAATTATTTCTTTGCGCCAAAATGGGATACAAATTATGCGCCAATTTGCGACTAGTCCGACATTTTTGGGGGTAGTGACAGTTTGAACTGTCATAGTCGTAGAGGAAATGAATTATTTTTGCGTCCATTAGCCTTGCGCTCCTTTAATATGTCAAAGTTATTACTTTGCGCCAAAATGAGATACAAATTATGCGCCAATTTGGGACTAGTTCGACATGTTAGGGGTAGTGACAGTTTTAACTGTCATAGTCGTAGAGGAAATGGATTATTTTTGCGTCCGTTCGCCTTGCGCTCCTTTAATATGTCATAGTTATTTCTTTGCGCCAGAATGGGATACAAATTATGCGCCAATTTGCGATTAGTCCGACATTTAACTGTCATAGTCTTAGAGCAATTGAATTATCTTTGCTTCCATTTTGCTCCTTCAAAAAGGGGACTATCTGATAAAATCTCACCGAAGATTCCTCGCTCTTTAACACATAGGGGTACGGTTTATCCTACCCTTCGGCCTGGCCACCGCTTCACTTCCTTTCGCTCGAGTTTAAACTTGGGTACCATGGCGCAGGTACGCAGTTCAGGGATGAGGGTGGATTTTCCGCTAGTCAATCAAGATGCAGCAGGACCTTGCCCACCTGGAAGAGCTGGAATGGTGGATAAATAGCGAAACGTCGGTTCTGGTCCCGCCTCAGGAAATAAAATACCTAGGGATAGTGTCGAACACGAAATCCAACATTATGTTCTTACCCCCAAAGAAGAGGGGGGCTTTACGCAAAAATTTAGAACACCAGGATCCCCTGGGGCAAAAGCTTGGAAAATACGGGGTGGACAAAATGCTTAAGCGATTCGTATCCAGAGGATCAGTCGCTCCTTGAAAGTGCTTGGCGAAGATCGTGCTGTCCCTTGGAAATTTTGGACGGTTTGATGCTCTTCTTCGGTTTTCCTTTGTTACCTTACACTGTCCCCTCCTTAAGTAGGTTTCGTCTGGAGGCAATTCTGCTACTCTTTGACAATGATCAACCACTTCCACGTCGGTAGTTCCAAATATCATGTAAGCGGTCTAGAAGACTTCTTCTTGAAGCCTTCATCATGCTGCAGTAAAGAAATCCTCCAGTTTGGACCTTTCGAACTTTTTCTTGAGCCGGCAATTGATTTCTCACCACGGTTGCCCCTCCTTCAATAAGATCAAAAAGAGCATAGAAGATCACTAATTTATTAAACAAAATCACAATGTAATGGCACTAAACTAAAAGGAACAAACACAGCTAAGGCATCCACTGACTAACTCCCTCCTCCTCCTTCTCCAAACGCTCCCTTTTATCCTCAAAATTCCCGTAAACGTTTCGAGCACCTCCAGGAATGTACTCGGCGCCATCCTTGATTTTACCACCGACACCTTCCTCGTCGTGCGACAGATGCGAGTAGACGCGCTTCGCGCCCTGGACCGCGTACTCGATGCCGTCGCCGATCTTCTCGCCGGCCTTGCGTACCACCTCGGCGACGGCCTTCGTCGATATCGTCTCGTCGTTAATGTTGATGTTAACACCGCCGGGCTGCTTGGGGCAGTTCTGCTGCGAGATGATCGACATCTCGAACGGATTGATGTTGTGAGCGATCAGTCTCGATCTGATCTGTAAGGAGGATCTTTGGGTAAACGCTATTTGCCCCCCGCTCTCTCTTACCTTATCGATGAACATCTGATCCAGAGTGCGAGTTCGCGAAAGGATCGTTACGGAATCGCGGTGACCTATGCCCAAACCTTGACACGTATACAGAGCGGCGTACGTACTGTAATCGGTCATGAAGATCGTGAAACTTGCCTTTCCGAGTGGATCTGTGAAGCGGATTTTGAGCTGGAGGCGTTCGACGCGTCGACGAACTTACTCAGAGTGAATTTTACTTTCATCTTCGACGGAATCGCGTTGTCGGGTACTGTTAGGTGCCCCTGATATTTGTATTCGTGCTTTAGGGGCGTTAACCCCAAGATGAAGTGTTGGCTCACTTGCTCCAGGTTGTACTCGTACGGTTCGGGTAGCTTGGTGAAGTTGTAGGTGATGCACGTGCTTGCCGTCGACGTCTTTTGGATTACGTACCAAACGCCAAGCATCTGGGGGGAGAAGACGTGAGAGCAAGGGCAAGAATTTAGCCTCACTTACCCCGTTCATGTTAAAATCGGACATTGGAGACATGACCGGGCACGAGCCCAATCCGTACGAGTGCCCATTCACTCGCACCGCAACGCAGAAAAGCACTATCAACGCTTCTTTCAACATTCTCTTTCCCGTCCAGCGACTGACTGAGTAATCTGTTTACGTTAATCTTATATACGAGTTCAACTCAACCAAAGGTCATCTTAGAGTGGCGCACATTATTTCACCAACACTAATCGTTTTAGAAACCAAGAGGAAAAATGGGTTGGCTGCTTGTACCGATCTATTAGCTTAAGTGTTCTCTATTTCTTTTTATTGGCCTGTATAAGGAAGAGGTACAAAATGACTCAGAACGTATTAGGTTCATTAAATTCTTTGAAGCGGTTGAGTGACTAAATCTAATTTGAATAACAGTTAATTAGGTAATCAAATGGTCGTTATTGTTTGTAAATAAATTAATCGAACCCGGACCGATAACCTTCCACAGAAAGAGAGAAGAAATTTGCGATTATACTAATTTGAGTTACCGAGAATTACTATACAGCCGAAGGGGAAGCCCCACGATTTTCTCGGATTTTCCACTTTCGCGGCTCTTTCTAATTTTTTTTAATCGACGTTGCTCAGAAGTCAATAAAATTTTCGTATAGTGCTCCTCAAAACTATGCGTATCCATTGTGGCGTCGTTCCAGAACTTCCTAGGCTTAGATTGTAGTAGTCTTTGAAACGGTCTAAGAAGTCTTGGGGAAGCCCCGAAGGAAAAGAGAATCTTCAAGGCTATAGCTGATTCCTTCCTGAAAGGCTGAAATTCTGGCCGGCCTGAAGAAAGGAGAAGATTAAAGAAGAAGTAGAAGATTTATAGCAAAATTCTTGAAAACGTTATTTCGATTAGATCTCTAATAAAGAGTGAGAGTTTGGACCAAAAAAACTGACTCCTGAGTGTCTTAAAAATTAAAATTCTTAAAAGCTCTTACGGACTTTGGTGGCTTCTGAAATCTCTCAAATACTTATCTTTTCTGGTAGCCTGACTCTGTCTAAAGACACTGAAAAATTCAAATAATCCGCGGCGTCCAAGCAACAACGTCCCCGTTCTGCAGTACCAAATCCTTCTCGCGACCTTTCAACGTCGGTATCTTGGGCGATTCGGACACGATCTTCTTCTCCCTGCAACGAATTGTTTCTCTGGTCGGAGTAGAGTCCTCCTTTACTGAGAGTACTGCAGAGGGTCTTCCATACCCCCCCCCCCCAAGATCTCTGGTGTCACTTTCTCTTCTTATTTGGGGAAGAATATCTCGAGTCCTTCTTTGCCGAGAGCACTGCAGGGGGGGGGGGGTCTTCTATACCACCTAGATCCCTCGGTGCCACGTTCTCTTCTTGTTTGGGGAAGAAGTTCGATATTCTTTCTAAAAACTATTTGTGAAAGTCCTGAAGGCTAAACGTTTTGTGAGAGAAAGTGTTACCGGGGGGCCTGGAGGGTATGGAATACCCCCAAAACCCTCCAGCATAGGTGGTTCCATTTTTATTTCCAGAAAACGCCCATGAAAGTATAGAAGGTTATAGGGAAATGAGTTATCGAGTCCTCCTTTTGCTGAGAGTACTGCTGGGGGTCTTCCATACCTCTCAGACCCCTCCTTTGTCGAGAGTACTGCAGGGGGGGGGGGTCTTCTATGCCACCTAGATCCCTCGGTGCCACGTTCTCTGCTTGTTTGGAGAAGAAGATCGATATTCTTTCTAAAAACGATTGTGAAGTCCTGAAGGCTAAACGTTTTGTGAGAGAAAGTGTTACCGGGGGGCCTGGAGGGTATGGAATACCCCCAAAACCCTCCAGCATACGGTGGTTCCATTTTTATTTCCAGAAAACGCCCATGAAAGTATAGAAGGTTATAGGGAAATGAGTTATCGAGTCCTCCTTTTGCTGAGAGTACTGCTGGGGGTCTTCCATACCCCCCAGACCCTTCCAGTGCTACGTTCTCTTCTGGTTTGGGGAAGATCTCGAGTCCTCCTTTGCCGAGAGTACTGCTGGAGGGTACTATAACCCCCCCCCCCCCCCAGAGTCCCCTGGTCCTACGTTCTCTTCTTGTTTGGGGGAGAAGATTTGATATTCTCGCAAAAACTATTATGAGAGTCCTAATGGCTAAAGGTTTTGTGACAGAAAGCTTTCCCATGGGGGGGGGGAGGGTATTCTATACCCTCAGTTAATTTCATTTTCATTTCCTGAAAACGTTCATGAATGTACTAAAAAGGTTATAAGAAAAAGAGTTATCGAGTCCCCCTTTGCTGAGTCCATACTCCCCAGAGCTCCCGGTACTCAGACACCTCCCCCCCCCCCCCCCATGGTACGCTCCTCTGTAATACTTTTAGGAGATAAGATGCCTAGATGGGGCCGACGAAAAGGGCCATAGGTTTCCAAGTGCAATATTTTTGAGGAATGGCTCCTCACTCGTCCATTTATAGAAATTCGGGAGTTTAGAGGGGGGGGGGGGTTAATCTACAACTGTATTTTGCGTTTTTCGAGACTTGGACTCTGAAGGCCGTGGAAAGGAATGAAGAAGCTTTCCAAAAGCGAGTTTATACGGACGAAGGGGCCAAAACGCGACTAAAAGACCTATTTCGTGTGATTCCCATACCGAATTATGCTCATTTTGACCTTAGACCCGTCACTTATCAGTGAGTAATGGAAAATTAGCGCAGATAAACCCAAAGCGCACAATGGCGAGGCGTGATTTTGTTTGCCAGTAAAACGACAATGTGACCTTAACGTTTTATTGTTAAATAAATAAATACAGGATCAGACGGGAATTTCCGTGGGGTTCGGATTTGTGTGGCCGCCGTAGGAGCCTACGGGGACGACGGGCTTGTCGGAAGTCGCTTGCGAGTCGTACAGCTCGAACACTTCCGGTTTTTCGTCGATTTTACTGTCGTCCTCCGTCTTGCTGTTAAGCACCATGTTCTCTTCGACTTTTCCGTCGGAGGTCTGCACCAGCGTCGCATCCGTTTGGGCCGTTGATTCGTGGTGATCGTGGTACTCGCAGTGGTGCTGGTTGATTTTGCTCAAAGTGAACGGGTCCACGTTGTAGGCGGCGAGCCGGGTGCGTATCTGTAAAACGAGCACGGTCAGATTTGCGCGTCTCCGGCAGGTCTCACCTTTTCGATGTACTCGATGGCGAGCGTGGGGGTTCTGGAGAGGATTTGGGCCGACCATTTCCTAAATCTGTTGAATGTGAGGGGGTAGGTTTTGCAGACGAAGATCGCGGCGTAGTTGTCGTAGTCGGTCATGAAGACTGTGAACTTGGAGGATCCGATTTCTGGAAGGGGGAGAAGTTAGGATAAGGTTGTGCGTTGAGGTTACTACCGTAGGGTAACTCCAGGTCCATCACTGCCGGCTCCTTTTCGTTTTTCGCGCAGAGGTCGCCGACTTTTTTGTTTTCTGGTCCAAGACCTACGAGCTGAGCAAGTTTGGAGTTCGGATGCGACTCGATGAAGTGGTAGTACCCTGGGTGCCCGGGCTTCTCGGTGATGTTGTAAGTGAGGCAGGGTACATCAGTGGCCGTCCTTTGGATCGCGTACCACTCGCCCAAGAACTGTGCGGATGAAACGATCAGCGAGGCAGATTTGCGCTTAGACTCACCTTGTGCATCTCGAAGTGGGGCAGTGGATCGATGTGCGGACATTGTCCGAAATTGCGACTGTCGGCGGCGACGCTTCCGAAGATGGCCACGACGAAAACTACTAACGCGAACATTTCTCCTGATCTGTGACATTCAACGGAACGAACTTGATTATATACGTAGGGTTGCCCAAGATGACAACAAAGTTCAAAGTTTGCGGTTATCTTCTGGACACGATGACGAATGCGATAAGTTTCTCGTTAATTCGAAAGTTCGCAAACAAGGAAATCCCTCGTTAAAATCAAATCGTCGGAATTTTCGGACAAACATGCAAATTGTTTGTTATTAATACCTACCTTGATCACCTGGTGGACCTTGAAGCGCTTTCATTCAAGACGCACGAGTTTACCTGTAGGCGGCCTTAGTTGCGTGTAAGATGTATCGCTGTATTTGTCTTCTTTACCTAATAACACTAGGGGAGTGTTGCCCCAACATCGAGCCTGTTCAGGATTTCGATATCAGCGGGGTGAGTGGTGCAACTTTCACAGAAGAAAATTATAATCGTGCCTCCTTCAGATTTTGGGCCACTGGCATACGATCCAAAAGACGGGGGCGGTTTTCCCTTGTCTCACACTAAATTTCACGAGAAGTTCGGCTAATTCCGAGGAGTTTGATGTAGTGGAGACCTCCCAAAGTACCGGACTGATAAACACCTTGGGTTTGCAACACGAAAGTTACTTGAGGGGAAAACTTCGCGTCACCGATTCCCCTGGGATTTTCCATCTTAGTCTCCCGATCAGTAAGGGACGCCTTTTTTTGGAGGGGTTACTTAAAGTGTTACAATTGCAGCCACGTGGAAGTTAACGGTGTTCGGCACCGATTACGATAACTACGTCGCGTTTTTGCTGTGCAATAAAGGTATTGTCACCACGTCCTTGGTTATAATTTCCTCAAGGACAACGAGCCTAAGTCCCAAACAACTGGAATCGGCAAGTTTACGCGGTGACACACGCAAAAGTTGACGAATTTAATTTGCAGATTTATGCTAAACTGCTCAAGTACAACATAAATCCCTACGTGATTAACACGGTGAGGCAGCACGGATGTTCCCAGCACGGCGAGAGGGGAATCGTGGTCAAAACCGCCTCCAACATTTTCGGCGGCATCGCGAACCTTTTCAAGTCCTCCAAGTCATCTAAGAGCGAGAAGGAAGAAGAGGTGCAGTACGACATAGACATCAGGACGTCACTAATGGAGTAAACCTGACCTTGTAAAAATTTCGACTGAGTAATAAAATTACCCACCACACGTCATTCTTGTTGTACCCATAAGAGTCCACCTGTCACCGTCGCCGAAGTCAGTTTCTAACAATGCGCCGAACACTCCTCGCCCTTATTTCCGCATTCGTATTCGCCTGGTGCCGCGGCACTTGTCCCGACGTGGATCCTCAGGCCCATCTCGACGTGGACAAGGCAAGTCAAAGTAATCGCTCGCAGCCGGTTCGTGAACTGACAGGAGCGTTCAGCTTTTAGGCCATTGGTTTATCGTCCAGAAGACCGGCGCCCATCACCCGTGCCTCACCTTCAACCTCACCGCGAACATCGAAACGGGCGCGTACAGGATAATTGAGACGACGCAGACGAGCAAGATCGTCAACGCGCTCGGTTTACAGCACGAGCGCCACTCCCGAGGCAAACTTACCCTGTCGGATTCCGGAGCGCCCGGAGTTATGGATCTTAATCTTCCGCTCAGACTGAGTGAGTAATTTGAATGTTTTCGGCGTGGTAGAAACACCATCTTATTACGTTCTTCCCCAAAAACCATTTTCGGCTAAGAGCCTTCCCCCTCAGGCCGCAAGTGCTGCTTTTTCCTCTAAAAACCGTTTGATTTTCACCATTTTCATTGCCCTTTAAAGGAGAAAGCGTGTACCTTTTTTACTGCGCGGTATTCTATACCCCCCACACCCCCCGGTGTTGGGGTTTGCCTTATAACACTCGCATGGCAGTTTGCACTAAAGGGTCTTTTTACTGGGGGTGAGGCGATCCATATCCCCAAGGCTATCCGGCTTTGTGTCCTCTTCCAAAAACCGTTTGCCTTTCGCCATTTTCTTTGTGCTTTTTAGGGAAGAGTTTGCATCTTTCTTGGGGGGGGGGGGGGTTTTCAATATCCCAGACTTTCCGGTGCTGAGTTTTCCCAAAAACGGTTTGCCTTGTAACACTCGCATGGAAGCTATAAAAGGTCATTGAATCTTCTTTTAGTGGAGGGGGGGGATCCATGTTCCTAAAACTCCCGGCTCTGCGTTCTCGTCCAAAAACCGTCTGTTTTTTAATTGTTTATATTGCAGTGTTTAAGAAAGGATTTACAATTTTCCTCAAATACGATTTGCCTTTAAAACTTGCATGGCAGTTTACAGGAAAGTGTAATTGAAGATTGTTCTTTTATACGGAGGAGGGGGGGGCATACACCCCAGGATCCTCGGCTCTGTGTTCTCGTGTCAAGCCTCCCAAGTCTGTGTCCACCTAAAACCTAGGGGGAAACAAGTTCCATTTTTGGTGTACACCAAAAATTCAAATTAAAATAATTAACTTTAATTCAAATTAATTCACGTTAATTCAAATTAATTCGCGTTAATTCAAATTAATTCACACGTTAATTCAAATTAATTCAAAGTGGTGGACAGTACAACCTCGTTAATCCGAATAGATTCGTACCACCGACCTTTCGGATTATCAAATTTGGACACCAGCATTAAGAAATAAACTTTAGTTTTTTCAACGTCTTCAGGGGTGTCATCGTTGTTACGAGGAACGAAATTATTTCGGACTATCGCGATTCGGATTAGCGTGTATTCGGATTATCGAGGTTGTACTGTACATCAAAAATTCAAAGTTGTTTCCCCCTAGCCTAAAACCTAGAGGGAAACAAGTTCCATTTTTCCATTTTTGGTGTACACCAAAAATTCAAATTAAAATAATTAACGTTAATTCAAATTAATTCACGTTAATTCAAATTAAATTCACGTTAATTCAAATTAAATTCACGTTAATTTTAATTAATTCACGTTCATTCTAATTAATTCACGTTAATTCAAATTAATTCACATTAATTCAAATTAATTCCCGTTAATTCAAATTAATTCACGTTAATTCAAATTAATTCAAAGAGGTGTACATCAAAAATTCAAAGTTGCTTCCCCCTAGCCTAAAACCTAGGGAGAAACAAGTTCAATTTTTCCATTTTTGGTGTACACCAAAAATTCAAATTAAAATAATTAACGTTAATTCAAATTAATTCACGTTAATTCAAATTAATTCACGTTAATTCAAATTAATTCACATTAATTCAAATTAATTCACACGTTAATTCAAATTAATTCAAAGAGGTGGACAGTACAACCTCATTAATCCGAATAGATTCGTACCACCGACCTTTCGGATTATCAAATTTTCGGATTATCGCGAAACTAGTGAAAATAATAAATTTGGACACAAGCATTAAGAAATAAACTTTAGTTTTTTCAACGTGTTCAGGGGTGTCATCTTTGTTACGAGGAACAAAATTATTTCGGACTATCGCGATTTCGGACTAGCGTGTATTCGGACTATCGAGGTTGTACTGTACATCAAAAATTCAAAGTTGTTTCCCCCTAGCCTAAAACCTAGAGGGAAACAAGTTCTATTTTTCCATAACGTTAATTCAAATTAATTCACGTTAATTCAAATTAAATTCACGTTAATTTTAATTAATTCACGTTAATTTTAATTAATTCACGTTAATTCAAATTAATTCACGTTAATTCAAATTAATTCACGTTAATTCAAATTAATTCAAAGAGGTGTACACCAAAAATTCAAATTAAAATAATTAACGTTAATTCAAATTAATTCACATGAATTCAAATTAATTCACGTTAATTCAAATTAATTCACGTTAATTCAAATTAATTCACACGTTAATTCAAATTAATTCACGTTAATTCAAATTAATTCAAAGAGGTGTACATCAAAAATTCAAATTTGTTTCCCCCTAGCCTAAAACCGTTTACCTTTTAGCACTTTCAATGCAGATTTTACCAAGACGCTGCCGCCTCTGTGTTAACTGGGGATATTTCACCCCCCCCTCCAGACCCCCCAGGTTATGCGTCCTCCCTAAAAATCGTGTATCTTTTGGCACTGGTTTTAGGAAAGAGCCATTGTATTTCATTTCGTTTGGGGTGGGGGTGGGATCCTCCTTGGTTCTGCGGTCTCCTCCAAAAACCGTTTCCCTTTCAGCATTTTTATTGCAGTTTTCCGGTAAGGGCTCGAATTTCCGCTTCTTTTCTTACACGCCTTCTTCCCTCTTGTGTGCTTTCACCATATTTATTGCACTTTTTAGGAAAGAGTTTGCATTTTTATTTAATACCCCCCCAGACCCCTCGGTGTGGGGAGTTTGCATGAAAGTGCCCCCCCCCCGTTCTCCGGTCTTGGATTTTTTCCCAAATACAATTTCCCTTTTAACATTTGAATGGCATTTGGAGGAAAGGGTTATTGAGTCTTCTTTTACTGGGAGTGGGAGGATTCACACCCCAAGGCACCCCGCCCCTGCGATCTCGCCCAAAAACCGTTTGCTTTGCACTAGTTTCATTGCACTTTCTAGGAAAGAACTTGCACCTTCTTTACTGGGGGGTGAGTTCTGTGTTGTTTCCTCCAAACCGTTTACCTTTCAGCACTCATTGCCGTTTTGCCAATACACTGGCGACTTTCCGTTAACTGGGGGTATTCCATACTCCGTACCCCCCTCCTCCTCAACACTTTCATGTGTTCCATACTCCCCAGCTCCCCAAAAATTGTTTCTTTTTCCGCAGTTCCAGGTTTCCTGTATCTTCTTTTGATTGGGGTGGGGGTACCTCATACCCCAACCGCTTCTGCGTTTGCCTTTTATCTTTTTCATGCAGTTAATAGGTCGAATTTTCGCTTTTTTCTTCACGTCTTTACTTCATCCCTCTTTTTTCTTCCCTTGGCACTTCCCCGTTTGGGCCTTCTTTCACTCTTCCTCCCTCTTTAACTAGTTGACGTTTGGAGCGCTCTTTTTTCTACACACTTCATTTCTCTTCAAGTTTTCCCCGTCCTTTGTTTTCACTGTGTCGACGATTCCGCCACTCCCCTTCCAATGATGGCAGAAAATTGTTTTGAATTTCAGGAACCTTCAAGTTAACAATTTTCGCGACGGACTACGACAACTACCTCGCGTTCGTGACGTGCAAAAAGGGTTTCGCCTTCACCAATAAGCCCCAGGTGACGATAGCGTCGAGGACGCCGAGCCTCGAGTCTCACCACCTCGAACCCGTAAGACCCCCCCTTCCTTTGTCGCCGTTATCGCTAACACTTCGCCCTCTAGATCTACGCGAATCTTCTGAAGTACAGCATCAACCCGTACGTGATCGAAACCGTGAAGCAGTTCGAATGCGCCGAGCCCGGGAAGAAGGGGGTCATTGTTAAGGCGGCTTCGGATGTGGTCGGCGCCGTGAGAGGTGCGTTTGGGAGTATCGCGGGCGTCTTTTCGCCCGGGAAGAAGGTTTCGGACGATTTGGATCCAGAGGTGACTGGCGAGTACGAGATAGACGTACGAGCGGGTGTCTCGCAATGAGTTTAGAGTAGGATGAATAATTTATTATTACCGAAATAAATAAAGGATTTTTCTACGAAGCTTACAGCGTGCATAATTATTTTGATTATTGGTGACGCAAAACTTCCAGCGATAACTTTTCACCTTTTGAACTTGAGGAGAAACATTTTGCTTCAGTCGCAGTGACGCAGAATGCATCGTACAGTTCTCCTCGCCGTCGTTTCGGCGTTAGTGTTCGCCCCATGCGGCGGAACTTGTCCAGACGTGGACCCGGAGGTTAATTTCGACGTGAATAAGGCAAGTCCAAAAACTGACGTTTGGCGCGCCGTTACACTCTTCCCACATGTCAGATTTTAGGCCACTGGTATATCGTCCAACAGACCGGCGCGAAACATCCTTGTCTCACGCTCAACTTTACTAAGAAGGCCGACAAGGATGAGTATAGAATGATCGAGACGTGTCAGAGCAGTAAGTTCTTTAACACCCTTGGTTTGCAATACGAGCACCACACCAAAGGCAAATTGCGCGTGCCAAATGCGACTTCGCCTGCGATTATGGATCTCAGCTACACGCTCAGCATTAGTAAGGAGTTTGCGCCTTGGTGACTAGATTAAGAAAATCCATTTTAGGAACGCTCAAGCTCACCATCTTCGCAACCGACTACGAGAATTACCTCGGTTTTCTCACGTGCATAAAGGGCTTCGCCTTCTCGAATAAGCCGCAGGTGACAATAGCGTCGAGAACGCCTGGCCTCGGTCCTCCGCATCTCGAACCCGTAAATCTTCCTTCATTTCTCGTCACGATCGCTAACACTTCGACCCACAGGTTTACGCGAAGCTACTGAAGTACAACATCAATCCGTACGTGATCGACACGGTCAAGCAGTACGAGTGCGCCGAGCACGGTGAAAAGGGCATATTTGTCAAGGCGGTCTCCGGTACCGTCGACACCGTTAAGGGTGCCATCGGAAGCGTCGTAAATCTCTTCTCTTCGGGGAAGAAGGATTCAAATTTGGATCCGAAGATAACAGGCGAGAACGAGATAGACGTTCGAGCCGGCCAATCGCAATGAGTTTTCATTTGTTTTGTTTATACTTACCACGATCTTGATAAAAGAAACAAATGTTAAAAATATTATACAGGGTGTTGCATGTAAGATAATTAAATGGTACAAAGAACAATGACCTAAGTAATTGGTGTTCTTCGGTTCTATGGTTGCGGAAAAAAATGTTTAATTGACAATGTAGCCCAAAAAATAAGTAAGGCCCTTTTGAGATCTCCGTGAGTTATGAAACGAATTGCATGAAATTCAATATGCGCATCGAGTTAGCCAGGAGCTCGTTTTCTATGTTTCTTTACATGTTTATTGATGTTTATTAGCGTGCATTATGTATACATTATTAGTGTCATCTGACCATTTTATCCATGCCAACACTAAGTCGCAGGAAATCCCTCTGAAGTTCTCTACGTCACACTTATCTAAAAAAAAAACACATTGGAAACTTTTCAGGTGATCGACCGATACTCACTTTGCTTCAAGATACGTTGCACGTCCTCGAAGTTTATAAATTTATGCCAGTCAAAGGACTGGGGCGCAACATATCGAATGATATGTTCGCCCACAAGAACAAATCGTAACCAAGTGCCCCAGTTTTTTGAGATTGTACTCAAAAAGATCACCCCTCCCGGTTTTAAGGTTTTGAGGCAGTCCCGAATGAGATCGTCGTGATTTTTGACGTGGTGCAAAACGAAGTTGAGGATCACAACGTCGTACTGCTCGACGTTCTCCAAACTGTGCGCTTCGATGCTTTCCCATTTGTATTTTAGATTTTTGAGGCACGGGTCGAGCTTCGCATGCTCCTCGGCCGCCTCTATGCAATCTTTGTTGATGTCTATGCCTAAAATATTGGCGCCGGCTCTGGCCAGTGGTTCGGCAATTAACCCTCCTAGGGCGAGCGTTCTCATTTCAATTTAAGACTTCAGACACTTACCTCCACATCCCACGTCTAAAATACGCAAATCTTCACAAAGCCGAAAACCTCCCTCGTCCTTCACAAAACCCTTCTCACGTAAAACATCCTGGATGTAGAGCAGATTCAAACTGTTCATCTCAATTAAAGGTTTAAACCATGAATTAGGATCCCACCAGTCTGATTTATGGTCTGTGAAGTAGACATTGCGCCCCACATCGGCAGACGACACCTTCAAAACTAAAACGGCGTTTCGACCAATTTAAACCTTATTAAGTTACGTACCTCTCGACATAGTTGACTTAGTAAACTGATATCGATATCGTAAACAATTCCTACTCAAAAAAGGACTTTGTTCAGTGATAATTGCAAACAATGCGTTTATCATACGGAGTGATAGTAATGCATCCTCCAAAACGCCAGCATCTTTTACGTCTGAGGAGAAACGGGTTAAATTAGGCCCCCGGGCGATTAAGGCTCACCTTAGTGCCGAATTTTAAAAAGGCGGTTATGTAGAAATGCAAACTTTTGATGGCTCTTGAGTATCCTTAACAATTTGTATAGGATATTAAAGGCTCTATACGACTACAAAGCTGTCATAGGTTCTTTGAAGGCTTTAGAACACTTTAAAAGGTGCTAGAAAGCGTTTACAGGCCCTTAACGGCACGATGGTTCTTAAATACTTTTAAAAATCCTTAAATTCTCAGATAGTTGACTGACGACCCTGTATATCATATGTAGGTAATGCAATGGAAGCATCATACCGTTGGCGGTTATGGAGCCACAACCGTAATGTTTCTAACCTAACTTTTTCACAAAATCAAAAACTTTAAAAAAATGCCATTAAAGCATGTAGCACAATTACCGAAATCCTACTTGCTGTGCGCCTTTCTACGAGTATTCCTAACGTGCCTGCCCCAAACCGGCTACATTCACCCCGACGAATACTTTCAATCGATCGAACCCCTCGCCGGTAAGATTTCTTCACCCGCAAGCTAATTTGCTAATTCGAAATCTGTTGTAGAGAAGTCCCTCAACGTGAAAGTAAATAAGCCATGGGAATTCAACGTGACATTCCCTCTACGATCGGTTACACCCCTGTATTTCACGACGGGGTTGAGCTTTCAAATCTTGAAGCTCGTCGACACGTTTCTGACGTACCAATTCGACGTTTCACTTGCGACGCCTTACTTTACAATTCTGTTCCCTCGCCTGTTAATGACTGGCCTGTCGTTCGCGGTCGACTGGAGCCTGTATCGTATCTGCCTGGCGAATAGCGAGAAGTGTAAGTCGCGCTGTCTGATTCTGTCCACGTCGTACGTCACGCTCGTTTACGCGACGCGTACGTTTTCCAACGTAATCGAGCTGTTACTCTTCGCGCTTCTGCTGTATTATGTCGCCGAGAGTCTCATATTTTCGAACATTAACATCCGGCAACGCGAGTACATCAATAAGAGGTACAAGGCGGCCGAGACGCTCGGCGAAAAGGCGAAGTTTCACAAGCTACGCCTTTACCTCGAGAACGACTCGCTTCGCAGCTACTTTACCATAGCGACTATCGTTACCGTCGGGTTCTTTAACAGGCCCACTTTCGTGGCGTACGCGATTTCGCCCGTTTTTTTTTGGCTGTATCGCGGTATCGGGTTCAAATCAATTGTTTCGCTTCAGTTTCATTTGCGCACAGTCGTTTTCGTCGCGAGCACCGTGCCGACCGTCGTTTTTTTCGTTGTCGTCGATTCGTTTTTCTACGGATACTTGACCTGGGGAGAAATCGGCATGTTGGAGGTGTCGATTAATAACTTCGTGGTGACCCCGTGGAACTTTGTCAAATATAACATTAACGCGGAGAACCTAGCCGAGCACGGGGTGCACCCCAGGTGGTTGAACATGCTCGTTAACGTTCCTCTTCTCTTCGGAGTGCTTGCGTTTTTGTGTTATTCAAATTTGGTGGAATTGTTAAGGAGGTAAGTAATATTAATAATAATAATAAAGTTTATTTGAGCTTTAAGAATAAAACAAAACAAAAAAGAAAAAGTGGCTCAAAAAAGGAACGAATTCGGCAATGCCGTTTTTCAATTCACCCTTTAAAAACCAAAAAGAGAAAAAAAATCGCCTCACAAAACTAAATATGATTGCCTAGCTAGATAAAGTTCTTTGGTCGATTTTGCAAACTGTATTTAATTCATGTTAAGTTTATCCAACATACAATTTAACAGGGGGACCCGGTCAACTCGCCAAGGGCGACTCGCCACCGGACGACTCGCCAACGCGACAACTCGCCAACGAAATATTTTTCCCAAATTATTATTTGAACAGAAAATTTGACAATCACATCGTTATTTGAACGACACATTAAAGAGGGAAAAATATTTCGTTGGCGAGTCGTCCGTTGGCGAGTTGACGCGTACCGTTTAACAGGGACACCAAGTCTCAGGTTCGGAAGGACTGACATCGTAATCTTTTGTTTCTAGCATCTGGCAATGCAAGTATCACCATCTACCGTCAGTACGCAGCATCCGTGGCCTGATGACCGCCTCAATCCTCTTCCCGCTCGCCTTACTCTCGTTTGTCCCACATCAGGAGCCACGTTTCTTGCTTCCGCTCATCCTTCCGCTGGTCTACCTGTACGGCCCGTCAATTTGGCCTGAACAAGTCGATGTGGTGGTGAAACCGACGGACGGATACAAACCGGGGGAGAGCAGACGGCGGGAACCGAACTCGCTCTTGAAGGTATGGCTCGGCGCGAACTTTTTGCTCGCGATTTTCTACGGATTTGTTCATCAAGGCGGAGTGTTCGGCTTTGTCTCGCGTTTGAACCGCGAAATGCGAACTACCGACGACAATATCAACTACGAAGTCTTCACGTCGCACATTTATAGCATTCCTCACTCCTTGCTGCACGAGGAACTAGGCGAGCATCGGAGCCCGTACGAAAGAGTCAAGCGTGTAACTCTGCACGAAAAAGGGTCGACGGACTTAATGAAAGTGCTCAGACTAGTCCGAACTGCCTTGTACGCGAGAAAGGCGAAAACCTCGCACTTTCGTTATCGATTATTCCTGGTCATTCCGGAGTCTTTAAGTGATGTGTTAATGTACTATCTCGCGCAGGACGAGTACGTTAATTTAAGTGTAATCGAGACCGTCCAGTTTTTTCCGCACGTGAGTACGGAAGCTATGCCGGAAATTTTCGGCGTGGACTTTATGTCACGGCCAACTGAGAGTATTCTTAAGTTTTTAAATGGCTTTTCTTTGACACGTTTCGAACTGCAGTTGAACGATTAGAGAGCACCAAGCGCCACCACAGAATTTACCAAAGCTTTTGATCTCAACTTGTTTAGCTTATTGATAAACCATGAGAAACTTGTAGCTTTAAATAAATGCCGTTATTCCTTGCACGCGTTTTGATTGCGCCTTTGAAATGTCACGCATTAACGAAACGTTAACAATGGCGGAACTACCTCGCGCTTATTAGGTTCATTAATAGCCAGGGAATTGTCTCTGAAAGAAACAAAATAGAATTAATTTAATGAATATCCCAGACCATTGTTAAAGTATTTAAACAATGCCCAGACACAGGGATGCCATCGAAAGTTAGTCATCGGCGCGACTATAAAAAATGCGGAGGCGTCGTATTCCTTCTTTGAAACGTTCTAGAACGATCGGTTTCGCGCTTGTGTTATGTTATAAATTGTATAAAACCATGTACTTAAATGTACGTTATACGTCATGTGTCGGTTGTGTTTAAGTGGACGATCAGTGAAAGTTTATGCCAGTAGTGACCAAAACAACTGCTGTGATTAATTCAAGAAATGAAAATTGAGCAACAAACCATCGAAGCTAAAGCCAAACGACTGCAGTCCAGTTTCGCATTAGAGAGCGAGAGTCGCCTAGGGCTGAAGCACCGCTACAACCGTCGTCCGTACAGTTTTAAGAGGGGGACAGTGTAACGAGTATCCCGCAAACTTTGTAGCGTATTTCAGTTCAGATCCAACTTTGATGCGCTTGTGTTATGTTATAAATTGTAAGTGATAAATACATATATTGTTAGTTAATTGTAAATAAATAATTGTACAAACACTGACTATCGCCTAAATTTCAAACCTAAATAACTGATTCCTAAAAATATAAGGGCCCATACGTTAATGACAATAAGACCGTTATAAACCGTAGGCCTACTCAACCCCCATCCTCGCTGCAACACGCTCCTCATACTTTCTGCCGGAATTGTCAGCGGTAAAAATGACGTAAAGAACCTCAAAAAGGGATGCATTCCCTCGATCGGCCATAACATTCCGGTAAGAAGAACGAACGGGAGGAACATGCCAAGTAGAACGTAAGCCGCCGTCCTTTCTTCCTCGAAGTTCGAAGAGATCGACAAGCCTAAACTTTTCAACGGTAAAAGTCGAGACCTTAAACGGATGTTCTTACCCGCACACATTCCGCAGAATCCGCTAAAAACGGTGAGCGTTATCACGTTCGCCACGGATCCGTTTAAAGTGAGTTCGAAAAAGTAAAAGAGCACCAGTAACGGAGTCATGCTCTGGAGCAGCATTAAACCGAACTGGCACACGAAGTGTCCCATCGCAATCTCCAAGTTTGTGACGCCCATTACCATCGTTCGCTCTAGGACGCCTTCTTTACGTTCTATTAACGTTATTCCGGCTGTGAGCGCGGCCGCCATGAAGAAGGCCAGTCTGAAAACCGCCGCTAGCTATTGGAGACTCGCGACGGTTGTAACTTACGTCAGTATAACACCCGGGTTTGCGAAGTCGGTCATATTGGGATCGCTCTGTCCGTAGATCGGTCCGTTGAACTGCAACAAAAGCCTAGGATCGATACATACAACGAACGCTTACTCTCAACGGGACCGCGACGGTCTCTCTGCTGATCTCGCAGGCTTCCAAGTAGTCGCCGATGAAGTCAGCGAAGCTCGTGTAGATGTACTTCTTTAGATACATCACTATATCCTTGACTGGAAAACAGAAAAATAATGGAACGATTTCGGTCTCCCTAGCAACTTGCCGGTGTAATCGCAAAATACGTCGATCGTCGACTGATCGATCAGAAAGTCGGCGACGTCTCGATTTCTGAGCCGATATTCTATGCTCTCGGTGTAGTTCTCCTTAATCACGATGGAAGCGTAGAGTGTTCCGTTTCGCACGGCCCAAATCGCTTCGTCCTCGCTGTCGTAATAGACCAAGTTCAACGCCTTTCGGTCCAGGTACCGCAGAAAGTGGCAGCTCAACGACTTATCGTGGCACGCCAGTAAGTCACAGGTTCTCACCTCGGTTTCGCGATTGACAATCGCGACCGTCAGTCCTGTCGGACTTCTCCCGATGCACGAACCGAAAACGAACACGCTCGCGATGGGCAGTACGAAAATGCTGACGATGGTAATGATATTCTTCCACATCCACAGGAAATTCTTCCACACGAGCGCCTTCAGGACGTGCTTGTTAAGCGCGGGACCGTTGCTCGTCGTAGTTTCGCGGGCGGTTTGTGGGAATCTCAAGCGTTTGGTTACCGACGGTTCGGTCTTGGTGATGATTATTCGATAGAAGACCTCCTCTAAGGTGTTCACCCTGAATTTCGTCAGGAGCTGTTGGGGCGCCTCTTCGCTGATTATCACTCCGTTGCGCATCAAGCCGATCTGAAATTGCAGAGTATTTTTTACCAACATTTGATTTCTGTAACCCCCCCCTCACCACGGTGGTATGTTCTCGTTTCCAAAAGCATCCTCGGAACCTTCAATATTTGTGATCATGTCGGGGGAATCATCAAAGATCCTTTTCTTATGGAGAGGAGAAGTAACTTCGATAGTTTTTCGTACAAAATGATGACAAAAACTGATTGTAAATGTGTGTCGGGAGGGGGGGGGGTTCTCCCTTCTCTTAGGAAGTATTGCAGAGAGAGCATAGTATCGAGGGTCAGGGGCGGACTGGGTACTTAAGGGCCAGGTGGAATTGCATAGGTTACGGGCCATTAAAGTATTAGTGTAGTAATGAAGGTGGCGGGGGGGGGGTAGCTCTGAGGTGCACCACAAAAACAGTGCTCCTTTCTCGAAAATCAATTACCATACAGTTTTTTTTTAAATTGCAGCTGATAATTAAAAGTAACAAAATATACAATCCACACGAGGTGCGTCGCCTATCATTGTATTTCAGCACTTTCATGCTACGACAAAAAATTATAAATTCATTGTAAAACACTTCAATTAAAACAGAATTTTTTAATTTTTTAACAACCTAAAATCAACTCCAATTAGAGAAACGTGTTAATAATTTATTAATAGTGCAAGAAACTAAATACAGCACATACTTATACATTTCCAACGGGCCATTATGATCTACAGGCCAGGTGGCCAATCGCCACCCCCCCCCCCCGGGTCAGTCCGCCCTGTCGAGGGTCTTAGGGTATGCCCCCCCCCCCCACCGCCCAATGGATTCGCTGTAGAATGATGGTGATCTCAAACGGTTTGAGCGTGAGAGTTTTGGTCCCATCTTTAATAGCCACCCTGTATATTTCTATTATCTCAAAAAGTCAAACTTCACCCTGTATCTCAGAAACGAACGTATCTAGATTGATTGTGGTATTAAAAGTTTCAGAATAAAAATCCCTTTCGGCTTGGCCAATATGGCGGAATTGGCCGATTCACGAACTTAACCGAGATATTTATAATTATAAATACCAACCCTTAAAGTTTGGTCGAAATCGGTTCATAATTACGGAAGTTAGAGTGTTTATTCTTGTAAGTGATATACAGGGTGTGGACATAGCTTAACACCATATTCCTTGGTTAATTTTAAGTCGAAATTTCTTTATACACTTTATCCACGACGCAATGGTTAAGAAGTTATGGGCAATATTAAATTTTACAATAAATCAATCTAGTAGGCCATGCAATTGTTTTGTCATACTGTTATGGTGACATTGTTTTTTCTTTAACGTTGTAATTTTAAGATTCACCCAGGTACTCTTCGATCAGAAAACATCCCCTGATATTCCCTCACTGCCTCTCTTGCATTTCCGTCACAGTATTCGTAAATTAAGTGAATATCCGCATATACTTGATTTGAAAACGTAGCCATATCAATTTCATCTTAAAATTACAACGTCAAAGAATAAACAATTGCATGGCCTACTATTTAGTGTTAAATTTAATATTGCTTGTAATTATTGAGTTTTGGACAAAGTGTATAAGGCAATTTCGACTTAAAATGACCAATGAATATGGACGAGTCACGGGACACCCTGCATATAAACTGGTACCAAAAAATCTACTCTTCAACTCATAAATTGGAGGCGTGTTCGATCAAGGACAGTTTAATTAAGCGCGCTTGCACTTACCACATCGGCTCGATGTGCCTCGTCGATGTAGTGCGTCGTTAGAATGATCGTAACGGATTTGTTCGTTGTCAACTCGAGGAGGTAGGTCCAGATCGACTCCCTCAAAATAGGATCCAGTCCGACCGTGGGCTCGTCGAGTATCAGCAGCTCGGGTTCGTGCAGGAGGGCCGTCGCGAACGAGACGCGTCTCTGCTGTCCCCCGCTCAAATTGCCGATTGTGCTGTCGATGGGCGGCATGTCGAGGAGTCGCATCAAGAAGTGGGCGCGCTCCTCGATCTTTTCGGAGGAGAGACCGGCAAGCCATCCGAAATACGTCATGGACTCTCTAATTGTAAATCCCTCACACAGAGAGATTTGCTGCGTTACTAAAAACGGTAACAATTTCTATTGCGCGTGCGCCTTCGTAGCCTACCTGCGGCATGTAGCCGATCTTGTTGCCGTTCTTCAGACTCGGGGGGCCTCCCAGAACCCAAATGTCGCCCGAGCTGAGGTTTTTAAGGCCCATGATGCAACTGAGTAGGGTCGTTTTCCCGCAACCGCTCGCCCCCAGCAAGCCATATCTGAAAAGGTCCCTAACGACTTTGGCCCAGATCTAGACTACTTACATCGCTCCTGTTGGGACGTTCAGGTCGATACTTTTCAAAACAGTGGCGGCGTTAACCCCCCGCCCGTACACCTTACACCCACCTCTCACGCACACGGCCAACTGGGTAACGTCTTTTTCGACTGGTGTCAATTCGAAGCTATTGGACATTGTTTGCCGCAGTGCACAACACACAGTGACGCTACAGACGCCCGCTTCTTATCTTTAACATGCGAAATTGGAAGGGAGTTTCAGGGTTATCTGTTAATGACAAAGTACAATTTCCTCGTCCTAATCGCTTCTAAAAGAAAAAAAAATTAACCACGCAACGTGTAATTACACCGAAATTATATCCAGTAAACACATTCCCGAAAAAATGCCATTACGACATGGGTAATTGGTTGGTCATTTGTATATGGCTCGACACGTCGCGTCTCGATTATTATTCTGTGCACAACAACAGTCAGTGAGAGGAGGACGTGGACTTGAACCTTTGGAAAGAGATAAAAAGTGACACGAAACGAAATCAGACTTTATTTATGATAAGTTCTAGTATTTGTGGTCCTTAACGAATAATCCCTCTTTGCCGGCGTGTCCTGCGGCGCTTCCCGTCGCGTATTTCCCTAAGGTGGCTTCGCCATTGGCCTTGGCGCGCTTCATGAATTCCATTTGGGCAGTTTTGACGTTGGCGTCTTTGCCACCCCACGCGCTCAACACTGACGCCTGAAGGGCGCGTCCGTAGCTGAAGCTGAGCGCCCACGGTTTCTTTGCGTTGAATCTAAAAAATCCGATTAGACGGCGACGACTTTCGGTTAAAGTGAAACTGACCTGTTGATGGCGTTGAGGTTCACTGTCGCTTCTTCTTCGCTTTGTCCTCCGGAGAGGAAGGTAATTCCGGGCACGGCAGCGGGGACGGTGCGCGAGAGAGCGGTGACGGTGGCGCGGGCGATTTCTTCACTGCTGGATGGGGTTTTGTGCGCCTGTCCTTGCGTTACCATGTTTGGCTTCAGCAGGGTTCCTTCGAGGTAAACGTGATGGTCGTTAAGCGCCTTGTAGACTGCCGCCAAAACGGTTTCGGACACCTTCTGGCAACGGTCGATGCAGTGGTCACCGTCGATCAAAACTTCCGGTTCGACAATCGGTACCAATCCGTTGGCTTGACAGGTTGCTGCGTATCGAGCCAATACGTTGGCGTTCTCCATGATCGCCTGATAGGATGGCGTGTTCTTTCCAATCTTCAGCACGCATCTCCACTTGGCGAACTGGCAACCGTCCTTCTTGTACTGGGCGCATCTCTTACCGAGATCATCCAGGCCTTGAGTGGTGCACTCATCCTCAGAACCGAACAGCGGAACGACTCCGGTGTCGACTTTAATGCCGGGAATTATTCCGCGTTCCCTCAGTAGCTGTGTGAACGGGGTACCGTCGTCGGCCTTCTGGTAGAGAGTCTCGTGGAAGAGGATGACGGCGGAAATGTGCTGGGCCACGGACTTGTCGGTCGTGAACAGCAACTGTCTGTACTTGCGTCTGTTCTCCTCGGTGTTCTGCAGCCCGATCTTCTCCAAGCGCTTTCCCATGGTGCCGATCGACTCGTCCGCGGCCAAGATGCCCTTGCCGGGATGCACGATGGCTTCGGCGATCGACCTCAGCTCATTTTGGAGCGCGACCGGTGGATACGTGAAGTAGGTTGTCATTTTCGGACGATAACGAAAATTAAAGTGGGCGCGTAATTTATTCGAAGGATTTATATAACTTTCGTCGCACTTTGGACCTGCTATCAGTTTTGAGTTGGGTAAAGCTTAGCGATAACTGTAAAAATAGATGTTTTTCGGATAGCAGGGGGCCTGACAACATACGTCATATCAGTATCTCATGTTTGAGTAATTAGGTCGATCCCCACTAGTAATTACTGCAATGGTAATTCATCGTTGCTTAATTTTGGCAGAATCGGAAATAAATCTTCCTACTGCAGAGACACTGCATGTCGCAAAAGGCGATTAATCAACGGTGATCCCACCAGCTTCATAATTCGATTTTCTTCAAGCACAGTGTGTCCTATTTTGGCTGAGACTCCAGTGTGTCTCAGCTGTTTTTCAAGATAGAGACTTGAGGTTTTCACAACCCTGTGCCACTTATAATATCACAAACAGAATCAATCAAGCTATGTTGTTTCTGATATACAGGATGAAAACGAAAAGTTTGACTTGGAAAAAAAAGGTAATAGATATTATTACGTAGGATCCAGTGGCGTAGGAAAATTTGACCGTTTCTGATTGGTATTAACTGCCTTGATTACCATGGACCCAGGCCTTATCCATGACCTATTATTTAAAAACAGTAAAAAAAAAGGTTTGCATGCCTAAAATTTAAAAAAATATATAGGTAAGATAGGAAACAGTTGACGTTAAGATATACAGGGTGTTTTTTTGGGAGCTTTAGTTAAACGTTTCTGGGAAAGTGAAATAGGTAGATTTTGAAAATTTGTACTTAGGATTTACTCTGAAGACCGAATCGATATAAAATATTTTCAAAATGGCCACACTTCCGGAAACACCGGAAGTAGATAGTAACTTCGTTATATTAAATGGCAACCCCTATTTTTTATTGCATTTTTGGATTCTACGTAAAATTTCAGTTCTTTTGATACCCACATGTCCATATCTGCCATTTATGGTTTTTAAGTTATTTTGACTTTATGAAAAAAAATGGCGGATGCAGATGGTACCTTGATAATTGATTACTTGAAAACGGTTATAGTCATGGCAACCCATTTTTATCAGTGCATAGAGAATGAATAGGGCTTTCTTTTAGTGTACTTAAAAAAAGTTAAGTTGCATACAACCGCACCTATGGAGATCCAAATTTAAGAAACTTCAAAGTCCAAAAACTCAGTTTTTTTAAATGGAATGACCATGTTCTTACTATTGCATGAGATAGAGAATCGAAATTGGAATATTTTGATATTACATGTTCCTATAGCTATCTTTAACATTTTCCGATTTATTCCCATTTCATTGAATTGATGCCATTTTTTTTGCATTAGGAATCCAAAAACCCAATAAAAAATTGGGGTTGCTATTTAAAATAACGAAGTTACTATCTACTTCCGGTGTTTCCGGAAGTGCGGCCATTTGGAAAGTATTTTACATCGATTCGGCCTTCAGCGTAACTCCTAAGTACAAATTTTCAAAAACCTACCTATTTTACTTTCCCAGAAACGTTTAACTAAAGCTCCGAAAAAAACACCCTGTACAGGGTGTTGCATTCAAAAAATACCAACATTGGGTCAAATCTCAGAAACTGTGGTCCAAAATTTAGTTGAGTACGCCACTGGATTCTACCTAAAAATATCTAAAAGAAACAGTTTTTACAATTTTTTTTATCTTTCATGAGTAGTAAGATATGATAACATCTCAAAAAGTCAAAAACAAAAGTAGCTACATTGATTCTGTATACTTAATTTATCTCCCAAGTAAAATCTCTCAACAAATCAGGTTTAATATTGACACTCAAATTCTTCGACTTCTTTAGAGTTCTACGGAAGCGAATAATCTGAAAATACACGTTAAGCTTGGAAATAGACTAAGATATCAGTACTCGAATTCGCAATAAAAGACGTTGAAACAAAAGAATGTAAATTGATAACCATATATGGATCTTTTCGCAAAATGGCGGCCGGAAGTAACGAAGCTGATTACGACCACGATGTCAAATGCGGCAACAAGGCTCTGAAAATATTTGCTGAGCAGCGAGAGGTGGTGACTTTTCTGGAGGGTGGCAAGGAATTATCCTACATTTTGACTTTGGTTTTATTGAAACACGTTTTACAGCTGTTAACACAGAAAAGGCGCACGGATGACAGGATCTCGTTTCTAAAACAACCACCTCCATTTTTGAACCCTCATTAAAAGACAGCTCTCTATTTTACTTTGTGCCTAAAACTATACGTTTTTTGTTTAAATCCATTGCCATCGTTTCGCGTGCGTTAATAGTCAATTCAGTAAACTTTAAGCTGATGCTTCTCATCAAAACCCGCGGAGTGTCCGGCGTTGCGGACGATGAAGCTCGATCCGTCGTAGTGCATGCGCCGTTCGCCTCTGCGCACGAACAAGTGACGCGTCTGTCCCAGTGAGCCGGTGCAGTGCAGGAATGGAGAACTCACCGATGCGGAGCCGTTCGTCGGCGAGGTGCGGAGGGAGAACTTGTTACTGTTGCGCCCAATTCTGCGAAGACTCGGTGAGAGTGTGCCCGAGGACGCTCGCAACTTACCGAACCAGTCCGTCCGACGTTTGCGAGATTCGAATGTTGTTGATGATCCAGTTTTCCGTCCCGTCCTCGGCTACCCAAAAGTTTGAGCCGTGCAAGACGGTGAAGGCGTCACTGATGTTTTGGGAGCCGTAGGCGGAGGTGTCCAAGTGCGGACTGTCGCTGTAGAAGACGTTCACCGAGAAATCTTGGCTCAAGTCCGAAAATGTGTCGGTGGTGGTGCGCGTACCGGCCGAATCGACCAGGTACACCAAGGCGCACTGATCACTGGTGAAGCTGACACCTTTGTACCACATCTTCGCGTACCTAAACGCTCAATTAATCGAAAGGTAGAATTAAAGTCACTAAATATAGAAAGTACCGCAATCCATTGGGCTCGTGTGTTAGAGAGAGAACGCATGATTTTTGCCCAAAAATGGCGGAAGTTACAAGATTCTAGTAACTTTAATGTTAGGGATTGTTCCACCTGTTTGGAGATATCTGTATATATTTTTATAAAACATGACAGTACTATGAAGTTAGGTTATAAAAAATGACAGCTATTCCGATTTTATTTGTCATTTTTTTTAAGTTGGCAGCAAAAAATGGCGGATGATTGCGGTACTTTCTATACCTAGTGACTTTAGGTAGAATCGCCACAAACTCACTTGTTGTTGCCGCCGGAGTCGTGAGCCAAAATCTCGACACGCGACCCGTACTGGTAGACGCGCCCGTTTGGATGCAAAAGAGCTGCGGAACTTCCGGTGGGACTCAAAGCTAGCACGATGCCGCTCTTGTAATTCATGACGCGCACGGCTTTCTCCAGTGAAATGTCGACGCGGATGCGGTCGTGCAGACGTAGCGAAATGATGCCTTGGGACGAAATCGTGCAGTTGCTTCCAAACGAGCCCTCCTCGTGCCAGATATCAGCCTAAAATCACCCCGTGAGCCTAGGCCACGGCCGAAACACTCACCGAGTAATCGTCCACGTAGCACGACTTCAGTCTGGGAAGCCACGGTACGCCCTCGTAGGGTTTCAAATCGCGAATACTCAAAGTCTCCTCGCTCAAATACGAGTTGGTCGTGTACAGGCTACGGCTGCGCAACTTTTTGGCTTCCTTGCGCTGCTGCGAATCCGCCGATTTGGGTTTTTGCGTCGAGTTGTCGGTGAAGGTAACTGGAATTGCCGATTTCGGATATGGGGAAAATCAAGGATCGCTTACCCTTTCGACGATAAACTCTTCCGGTGCCTTTCTCCATTTTCTCTTTGACTTTTCTGAAAATTCAATTGTTTTCCGTGGAGCTCTACGCAATTTGTAAAAGGCCATTGTATGAACAAATTTATTAGTAGGTAGTAATTATTGTTAATGTATAAAAAATCTTAAGGTCCGCGGAGAGTCGGCGGAATGTAGCCCGCATCGGCGATCTTGCACTCTTCGTCCCAGTCGTCGGGGACGACCTCCTTGGTCAGCTCGATCAGCTTCGGTAGCGGGCAGAATGTTTCGCAACCGGGGATCGTCAGACGATGGGGCTCGTCCCAAACGTTGGTGGAGTTGCGCAAAAATATCTCGACCCCGTACTCGTCGCGCGTTCCGTTATGGGAAAGTTCGAAGAGCACGTTAATGGCGAACCCCGGCAGTTGCGGCTCCCAGATTTGCAACGCGCTGAGCAGGTTGACGATGGTCGAGTCGTGCCCGATGAAAAGAGAGGCCTTCCGTTTACCGCCGGAAGTGGCGGCGGTCCAGTCCGCGATTAGCTTCTTCACCAGGACTCCGCCTTTGAGACGGTTCAGGTTGTTGTTGTAAGCGTTGAGCACGTAACTGAAGACGGTCGCGTTCAGCATTCGTTTTGGGTAAAATTCCGCCGTCCACGGGGGCAGTTTCAAACCGAAAGCCTCCTACAATGACAGCTTCAGTTGGAAACTTTAAGCCTTCGTGCTTACCTCCGACATTAACGTGGTGAATATGTCCTGAACATCTTCGAAGTCTTTTACTCGCTTTCCCGTGTGCTTGGTGAGATCTGCGAAGAGAGTTTGGGACGCCCTCAGCCTGTTCGATATTTCGGTTGTATTAATTACACGCTGCAACTCTTTGTGGTACTTTGGACATGGGCGTCTCACTAGCAGAAGCTGAAACAGAGGGTGCCAGTGAGCGATTACGTTTAGTGCTCTTACATCATCCTGGTTTAACGGTTCCGAGTAGCTCGGTATGGGTTGCCAGTCCAGTGCTCCCCACTTTTGAGCTGCATTGGGAGGCCAGAGTCCCGCGTTTATGCATTGAGCCGAAACTTTGGTGCGGTCGACGTCAGTGGTTTGGACGTAGTACTCGCTTGGTGTGTAATGGTCACCTAGGAAGGCGCCATACCGATTCCTGAGGTACTTCCCGTGCTCATAGAGTTGCTGTTTTCCTTCCTGAAACAGTTGGCTATTTCAACTGACTATAACAAGGATTATAAAAATCGATAAAAAAATACCGAGCGTTCCTATTTGCTACGG